GGACCTTGACAGGCTTGAGAAATGGGCCCATGTGAACCTCATGAAGTTAAACAAGGCCAAGTGCAAAGTACTGCACCTGGGTCAGAGCAATCCCCAATATCAGTACAGACTCGGTAATGAAGCAATTAGGAGCATCCCTGCAGGAAAGGACTTGAGGGTACTGGTGGGTGAAAAATTAGACATGAGCTGGCAATGTGTGCTCGCAGCCCAGAAAGCCAATGCTATCCTGGGATGCATAAAAAGAATTATGGCCAGCAGGTTGAGGGAGGTGATTCTGCCCCTCTACTCTGCTCTGGTGAGACCCCACCTGCAGTCCTGCATCCAGCTCTGGAGCCCTCAGCACAGGAAAGACATGGACCTGTTAGAGTGGGTCCACAGGAGGGCCACAAAAATTATCAGAGACTGGGAGTACCTCTCCTATGAAGAAAGACTGAGATCAGCCTGGGGAAAAGAAGGCTCTGGGAAGATCCTATTGCAGCCTTTAAATATATAAAGAGGGCGATGGATGGAGAATTTTACCAGGGCCTGTAGTGACAGGACAAGGGGCAATGGCTTGAAACTGAAAGAGGGTAGAGTTAGATTGGATATAAGGAAGACATTTTTTATGATTATAGTAGTGAGACTCTGGAACAGGTTGCCCAGAGAAACTGTGGATGTCCCATCATTGGAAGTGTTCAAGGTCAGGTTGGACAGGACTTTGAGCAACCTGGTCTAGTGAAAGATGTCCCTGTCCATGGCAGGGGGGTTGGACTAGATGATCTTTGAAGGTCCCTTCCGACCCAAACCATCCTATGATTCTATGAACCTGTTCTAATGAATATCTTTACCATATAAGAACAATATTATGGCAGATAAAGATGCCATTGTCCCATAAATTAGAGAATACTTAGATTTAGACAGTAATATTTTTTCAAAAAGACAATTTTTGTAAAAGTTATTGGGAAAAATTCTACTGCAAATTACCAGTTTGAATCAAAATCAAATCTACTGACTTCCCATTGAAATTCACCTTTACTTACATGGAAAAAAAATTAAAAAGTAATTCTGTAATTGGCTTGACTACGTTGAATAGATGTTTCTTCACATTTATTGCTGCAATCAGCTCAGATCAAAAAGATTGCTTCTGCACATTTTTTTCTTCTAAAAAGAGTCTAATAAGAGTTGCAGGGCAAATTCTGAAATTCATTATCATCGTCTCTGAATTAAGGGGAGGGTGGGAACATCAAATGCAGAACATGAAAATTATGGCTTTTGCAGGCTACTTTGTACTCCTAGAAGTCCCTGAGGTGTCACTGAGAGAAGTATATAATGTCTGTGCTTCATTTTGATGATTTGGGGAAGTGAGTAAATATGTTAGATGTTAGGCATTTACATATTAGGAATGCATCCTGAACTCTTTTCCTTCACATTTCAGAAGTGTCAAATGGCATTAAGGAAATGTGAGTGTTTTTTATGACAATTACAATTCGATGCACAGACAAATTCTATAGTACATTAAATACACAAATGTATGGAAAAACACATGCTATGTGCATAAAGAAAAACAAGCAGAATCACAAAATAGAAAACATCACCGAGAAATTTTAGAAGTGTTCACATTTTTTCCTGTAAATTTTTCACTATTCATATTTTGTATATATATTTATTAAAAATATATTTTGAACTCAACATTTATTCCTGATGTCATTCACCTTTTTTGAATGTGATTTCCTGTGCTAATACCAAACACTACATATTGACCTATATGTGGCTGTTATTTATTATTTATTTTTTCATAGATTAGGATTTCTTACCAATTTTATAATTTTATGATGAGAGTTGCTATAATAAATGTTTGTGCTACCCAGATGTCTTTACATAAACAAACATGTAAGTAGTTTGGCTGTTAACAGCACACCTTTTTATTGTATTTGGTATTAATTTACTAACAAATCTTGATCTCATACTACCTACTTGATCTTCATTCAATTTATACTTTACATATTTTCAAGTCTTCATCAATGAAATTTAAGCACTTACATGTTTTGTAATTTCACCATTTTTGTAATTTAAAACATAAATCATGTATGTCAGTTAAGACTCTTGTATTAAACAGTGGTAGAATTATTCTTACATGTTAGGCTGTAACCATTTTCTGTGTGTAGAGTCGCCAGTCTACATTCCACCACGCCCATAAAATAATTGTCATTTAATTGTTCACTTCTTTACTATTTTTTTCAGTTTTATGTAATGGGAACAGTAGGGGGCATTCAGAGCTTTAAATACTGTGTATGGCTGGATATGATCCTATGATGCCAGTAAACTGCATTTTAAATGTGTAGAATGCAGTTCAATTAATTTCTATTATACCGTATTAAATCCATTAATTCATGTAATATACATTTATGCATCATGAGCTTCTCATTTATTCTTTGTTGTGTTGTTCATTACTTTCACTTAAGTTTTTAGAAGAATTTCTTTTACCTAGAATTTTAACAAAATAGATGAAAAGCAAAGACGTATTACAAATAAGTTGCAACAATTTTTAAATAATGAACAAAATTATTTTCTTAAACTGAAAGCACATACATTTTTAATGTGAACCTTACCAAAAAAAACCCAGGAAAAATAGTCTGACTTGTGTATATTATTTGCTGTGGTGAAAAAGTGCAAGGAAAAATGGCTATCCTTCTCCCCAACTCTCAGAAGAAAAAACAAGGAAGAAAAATAGGCCAAGATTTCTTATAAGCTGTAGCTTCAGCTCCACAGATCTGAGAGAAGCTATGAGGAGCCACCTCATATAGAGCCTGTCAACAAATAAGCAAAAGCCTCAGAAACCTACAGACTCCTAAGAATGTACAATAGGTATTAGGGTGAGGATGCCACTCTGGTGTTATTTGAGGATATGTGGGTGGAGATGGCATTTCCATGTTATGGATAATATTTGCCTGTGTAGATTACTAATTAGCAGAGGAAAGTCGGTGCCAGCAAAGTGGTCCACCTACTAAAGCTGGCCATTGTCTAGAGTGGAACACCAGGGCATTTACAAAGTCAGAAGAACTGTGTGTGCAGGATTTGAACTTCAAGGTTTTATATGACCAAGATTCCCTTAAGAGACCTGAGGTCCAACATTTCTTGTAAGGGTTGCGCACGCATTTTCCATGAAAAAGATTTTGCATAAAATGCATAAACAGCAGGAGATCTGACAAGACGACCTTTCTGATTCAGTGGGGTATGGAATCAAATGTATCCCTGCTTATTTGCTCCAGTGATCAAATCAGAGAGACTGGATAGCACACCTAATCAAGCTCGAGAATATTTTAGAAGTTTGGATGTATGTGTGGTATTGGGAAGAAGTAGGTTTGAATTTACATTTCTCTTTCTGACCTTACTGAAATATATTTTTCACTATCCCTCTCTCTGAAGTTCCTGCACAGCTTCCAGTTTTCTGTCAGTAGAGTATAAGAAATCTCTTCAAGCAAATGGATAACATGCAATCAGAAAGTTGGTTTTTTATTTTGTTGCAGAAATAAAACTGAAAAAAAGTTCTCCTTGACAAAAGGTAATCCTACAATTCAACTGGTTTTATCCTACATGCAACAGCTGATGAGAATGCAAAAATTCGAGAAACTCCTAATCTGCAACTGAAACCACAGAATGACAAGGTTTTTTTGTATTTTTTCTTGGATGAGTCACAGTATTATAGGATTTCCCAGAAGACTGTCACATGGCAGTATTTTATTACTTTATTTTCCTACATTTCCTGCACTAATACTTGATATTCATATCATAGTTATTATATGGATTCCAATGGCTAAGTGTATAACCTCAAATACCAAATAGGTTATTCAAGGAATGGCATGTCACACGGGCTACGTGTTTGCAATTTATGTCTAACATTTCTTATTTTCTCACAGTTTTCCATCTGGCCACACTAACATAGACACTGAGAGTGCAATTAATTTGTTAGATTGTACTTTGCCGTTTGAGGTGCTGTAGGATACCCTACCTGGAGTCTATCAGCCACTCCACAAGGACATGGAAATTCTGGGCATCCTCTGTCATAGCTTCAGGCCCACACAGATGTCTCAGTTATTGCAGGGCTTTAGAAGGTACTGTATTTCTGTGTTTGAGCAAATGAATCCTACCTTACTTTTGGTCACCTGAATAACCCTGTTGGCTCATGACTAGACCTCTATGGAATAAAACAGTGAATATATAGGCAATGTAGACACTAAAGTTTAGATCTGAATCTGGAGCTGACTCCCACTTTTACATTCCAATAACTTCCTGATAACCCTGTCAAATTCAATAGCTTATGGTTACTACTCATATTTCACAGTCTACTTCCAGTCCCCAAGCAGTTCAGCTGATTATAGATGGTGTCAGGTTTTAATTGCCGCCTTGCTTTCTATTTCTAAATACTAACCCTACTAATGGACCATATAAGAATACACAGAATGAAAACAGGTGTGCCATATGTTTGACAACAGAATAAAATATACTTATCTTGCCCTTACCCACTGTAATACTCTCATCATTTTTTCCTGGTTGTTATGTGTCCTTTCTGCTGCACATGCGTACATGCAATCCATCTGGTTTGTCATTTATCTCTGCATATCAGTTCACTTACAGTACACTCAAAATATCCCAAGAATATTAATTTTATCTCAGAGTTTTTCAGGAATTTGATATGTAATAAAGTAAAAAAGACACAGAGTTTATGCAAATTTGCATCAATAAATATAAGATGCATAGAATATGTCTTCATACAATTTTTCAGAAACAAGTCAAAGGTTTTTTTCATACTTTTAAAATCTAATATCCTTTAGGTCAGTGCCCATCCAGAAGAAAGATATCTGGTATGCTTATATTGGAAGACTTCATCAGTCTTGGAGAAGGAATTATTGAAACAATGGAAAATAGATATCTTTTTTAAATTTGGCTATGAATTTGCCAGACCTAAAGAATATGTGCTACTCTTTTCTGATGATATACACAAATATTTTTTATCACTTCACCTGTTCATTCACTCTGGAGTGTGATGGCCCATGATGGATGAGAATCTTCACAATGTCTACATCTCCTCTCCAAGCAGCCAAGTGAATAGGAAAATAACCTTTATTATCTGCCACATTAGTTGATGCTTCATACTGAAGTAATTTGAGAACTATATCCCTGGAAAATAGGAAGCAAATCTAAAAATTGACAGGAAACTTATTTTATTAAGTTTTTATACAAACATACATATTGCCAAAATTTTTGCCCTGGATATCAGAAAAAAATCTGTATTTCAAGTGAAACAGCTACAAAAATGAAGACCAATCATTTCTAAGAATGAAATTGATAGTAAAACATAGGCAAAATGTCATTAATTGTAATGATTTTTACTTCTTATGAATACCCATCAACAACATTAACATCAGTTCTCTGAATCTGTTTCTTTCAACAGGATCACCTGGCCATGGAATCATTTTTAGAATTTGCCAGTCCAGGCCACGTGCATCTCCCTCAAGACAAACCTTGCAGACACTAAAGGCGGAGAAGTAGTCCTGTCCCCACCATTGCTGAGTTCTGGAGGCAGGAAGACAAGAGGGTAGATTTATGGACACGGTTCTTGCAGTAAGGCTTAAAAGTAATAGATTTTCTTCTTCTTTAAGGCATTATCTCAAAAATGGAGGAAACAATTTAATGATGATCTAGTTAGATATATAGTATCTTCTATGGAATAACTGCTTCTATTTTCACCACATCCAGCTTCCTGAGAGCAGTGAGGAAAAAAGTGACTTTTATTATTTTAATTCTTATTATATTCTTTTCAGTATTTTCAGTGTGGGCTTATCATACATTAAATGAAAGATTAGTATGAGCTGGTATATTGCATCCCTGATTTTTAAGTCTCCTGTACTTACTTAACTTCAAAAGCTAAGCTTAAAAATCAACTGTGCGGTATTATCATTGGTTATCAAGTATGTCAGAAAGTAAATAAATCCTATCTTATCTCTCCATTTGTCTTCTCATAGTTTGACACAGTCAGGCCTCATTAGTTATTATATTAATAGCATCTATGGTCCAATGTGGGCAGTTATACGCACATTTTTGCTGAATATAGAAACACTGTCTCTTATTGATTTGGCTCAAAAAATCAGGGGAGGGAGGTGGGAAGCGAGCTCAATGCAGCCTATATTATGACTGAAAATGAAGCCCTCCATTACAAATTAAGACAGAAGGTAAATCCCAAGGCAACTGTTCTCCCAACCTTTACGGAACCTTATTTAATTGCCTATTGAGAGAAAAATGTGGCAAGTAAGAGTGAATATATCCAGGTCAAAAGAAACTCTCAATCTATGTCTTCAATCTCAATGTCTTCAAATTAAATCACAGAGATACTGGAGTCATCACATCTAAGCTTTGAGAGAAACTTTAAGCTTGATTTTGCTTACTCCTGACAAGGTCAAATAACATGAAAACAATTAAGAAAGAGCAGCTTTAGTATAGAAAGCCTTTTGCTACACAGAAGGTTCCAGAAAAGTGACTCCTGAGAGAAACTTTTTAGTACAAATAAGGTTTGAGAGACCTCTCATGTCATAATAGTTGGTCTTGCAGTAGACACTCTAACGAAGGCTAGATACACAGTGTAGTTTGAAAGGGACAGAAGTCAAAGGAAACAAAAATTTAACTAAGTGGGAGAAAAACAGCAAAAAAACCCTCCACAACTGAAATCTATAGATAATGGACAGTAACTATTGGGAAGAGTATGTTGCAAGGTTCAAGCTACAAAATAGAACCTAGGTTTCCTCCATCCTTCAAAAGAATGCCCTGACACATCACACTTCTCTAGGGTGAGTCTTTTTTAGTGCTCTGTCAGAACTTTCTCACTTTGTACAAAAAAATTCAGAGGAGGAGATACAAGAGTCTTTAGTGCAGTAACATTACTGGGCTAAGTAAAATTTCTTAAGGAGACTGAGATTAAAGTCCCTGCCCCAGATATGACTTAATTACTTCTATAAGGCAGAATAGTTTCAAAAGGAGAGAGAACTATCCCAGAATAACCAAGGAGGAGGGAATTCATCACATACAATGATCAAGCAGGGACTTGCATGTGTGTACAACAAGTGTCCCAGCCTTTGGCTGGGTCATTAAGTCTCATGTTCTCACTTTTCCTGAAAAACTTTGAAATGTCTCAAGTTCATCCTAATGTAAAGTGTGAAAAATTAAAACCCAAAAGTTTTCAAAAGACAAGAACTTCTCCTAAGTCGGAAGGCTTATGTGTCAAAAGATTGTACCCAATATTGATTTTTTAATATTAACTTTCAAATCTGAATCAGAGTGTAAAGCTATTTATTTGTTATTTGAGGTGACTAATGAAATTACAACCACCAGGTGTCTGTCCATTTCTCCTGCTGACAGTGCTACCATTGTAGCAGGATCAGTATGATGGCTTCAATTGCAGGTCCCGAACCATCATGATTTATCATTATATACCTCATGATGTATTTCAGTTTACTTTAATACAACAAGCTATAAATGTGGTAACTGCTACTTACCCTGCTGTGAGGGTGAGGGTTTGGGTTCATAGCAGCCAGTGGCCATTATGACCTTTTCAAAACCAACAGTCCTATCTGCTGCTGCACATAAGTCCACCTCTTGAAGTTCCCTCTGACTCCAGCAGAAGTTTAGCCAACAAAGTGTGTGAAAACACTATTTGGCTTTTGTATGTTTTGGGATTTTATAGTCTATATTGCTAGGATTCACTTCAAATCTCTGGTAGATTCAGTGTTTATATAGCAATATTTTTACTTTGCTAGGTAACTATTGGTTTATAGTCAGTATTAAACATACTAGAACCAGTTTTCATCTATTTAAAACCAGCAATCTTTGCAAGCTAAAGCTTGGGCTTTCGTCAATCAAAAATGTGCAATGGCGCAAGAAGGAATCCATAAACTATAAACAAGAGAAATGTGATTTTCTCCCTTTTTAAAAAAAGCTGAGTTTAATAAACCATATTAAGGACTTAGACCTAATTCCATGTAGGTAAAATATATTAATGGATGATTCTGAACCTTGCTACAGAACCAAAATTTTGGAAAATGTACAGTATCTAATTTAACAGTATTTTAACTTCATTCATTTATTCAGAAACAGAATATCCTCTATTCACCACAAGATTCATCTGGTCTAAAGAAAATATGCAAATCTCTAGAATACAATTAAAGACACAATCTAAAGTTTTAATTTTTCCAAGGAAGAATTGAAAAATTGCAAAATTAGTTAACAAAATTATAATTATTATGGATTCATATGTTATCTTATGGACAGTCCAAAATCACATTAAAGTTAGTGCAAATCACTCTTAATTTCAGTTTGTTCCTTATCTCCCACAGAGAAATAACCCAAAGCCTCACATCAAAATTTTCTTTAGTGAAAATCCAGACTGTTAACACCATCAGTTTACAAACAGGACCAATGGACTGCCTTAGGTGGGGCAGCTCTTACCTTGGTTACAGTGGGGTCTGTCCCACTAGAACTAGAACCCACTCATTAAAATCTTTCTTTCTCATTCTGCCTTAATAACAACATGCACTTGGCAGCGTAATACAATGAAGGTAGCAAGGGGCAACATGTAAGTAACAGCAACTACAACTGCAGTAACAGAGAACGAATTACAGGGTGTAATAACATAATATGGAACAAGTTTTCACTGTTGTTTACTGCCACTTTTATGCCTTAGAGAGTTCAGCTGCACTGGTACGCTCAGAGGGGATTTTGCAGGCTTTCCCCAAGCTTTTTGAGACGTGCGTGCAGTAACTTGGATGGACAACAGGGCAGGAAAAGCTACAAGGTCCCATACAAGGTAATACCTCTTTTTTTCTGCTTTCAGGTGTATAACTACTAAATATTCTTACCATACTATTTTGACATTGATAATGATTAATCTATACTGTCCTTTTGTTTCACAATATTGCTTTCTTAAACATTCAATGCACTATACGTGTACATAAACACACAAATATACTACAAAATTTTCTGTTGCAATTTTGCTTCAGCTAAAAAGCACTAGAGCCACCACTAGCAGTAACAATAATAAATTTAATCAAAATCAAGGAAGAATTTGGAAAAAATAATATTGAATCAATAGCTTCTAAACTGCATTTCCCATTTGTCATTACTACATGCTGATATCAATGACAATGTCAAAAAATTCTTACATTAATATATCCTGTCAGAGATAAGATTATTTTATTAAGTCAGGGCTTGTCAATCTTCTGTGAAAATTTCAGTGATATGCCACAAATTTTTAAGTTACGCAGTTAAATACCATGCTACATAAAAACTAAACGTGAGGTACTTACTTGTGTCCATTTAAAGCTGCATGATGTAAGGCAGTATAACCTGAACTGTCTGTGCAATTTATATTTGGTCCTCGCCAGATGCTGCAAATAAAGCAGAATTGTGAAGTTAATTTTTTGGCTCAGCAAGTACAGAAATGTCAGAAATTTGATGTATAAATAATCTAAAGATCACTGCAACAAGTGTGGTTAAACTTTAGGAGAAAATTTATCTTGAAAAGAACTTAAAATAGCAAATGTCATGTTGATAGATATATAATTTATTTATAAAAATAATTTTACACATTCATCTTTATAGCAGTCATGAACTTTATGTCGGGCAATCTCAAAGACTAATAACTATTCTGTCATTTCAATTAGATCTGTTCTCCCAGTATTACTCTAGTAATTACACTGAGTTTATAATCTGATTTTGCACAACCTTTTTCACAAGTACATATTCATTGACTTTAGGTCAGTTAGTCTAGATTGATACAAATGTAAGGTTAGTGAGAACCCATCATATCCTTTAAAGGTAGAGAAAATTTATTCTTCTTACTTGGGATGTTTTAGCTCCCATTTTAACCAATTATATTTTAAAATAAATTACATATACATAAACCAAAAGTCTAATAATTTTTTTTTGTTATCTTTCTGTATTTTACAGCACTTATTTTATAGTCAGCTTCATTATATGTCCCATGTAACCAGTTCATGATGTACTATGGGCTGTTCACAAAACAGTAAAGAAGATTTTTTGTTTCAAAGTAGAAAAATGTGACTGCTAATATACCAAAAAAAAACCCCAACCCAAAAAACACCCCCACCCTCAAATCCTGCAAATTGGACACCAGAGGCATATTGAATACCAGCAGGTTATATTCTAACTGATACATTTGAATCTCACTATCCTTTGTGGAAGCACTTTTTGTATCCTGTATTACACAGTCATTGACAAGCCATATTTTCCCTTCACTTCATACCTTAGAATGAAGTGTTGCAGTTTAAAGAAAATAATCTGAAGCTAATAGGTTAAAAGAGGTTTTCATATTGACATTTTTCATGATCTACATCAATAAAATGACATGTTATGCTTAACATATGCTTTTTAAGAATTCTTTACTACTGAATCTGTATTTTATTACCTATGGAATATTGGTGTTGCAGACTGATCTCTTTTTCATTGTGTGTGTTTGCATGAGTAATTAGCTCATAAATTTAAGCAGTTGTTTTCCCATAAGTAATACGGCATGCATACAGCATTATTTGTGTGATACATTGTCTTCTGCAGTGAGCGTTATTCTACATAGTGCTGGGTACCTCACCTCTCCCTGTGATTGAATTTCTTGGAAGAACAGTACTGTACTTGGGTACAAAGAAGCAAAAAATGAAGTAATTTTTTTTTAATCTGCTCAGAATTCTACAGATGTTCTTTTCTACAGAAGGCAACTTCAGCTATGAAAGTCACTCTAACCTTTCCAATTAAAAGAAATTATTTTAACTTCATGAAGTAGTAAAAACTGAGTCATCTTCCATACTACACAGATGTTGTTGATATGACAAAGACAGGCTCCCCTTATCTATTGGAAGGAAAGAAGTCCTTATCTACCGATATTCTATAACCTCTTTTATACTTTTGCATAATACCTTATTAGTTATTTTCTTATTTATTGGACTCTACTTTCTTCCTTTGATTTTTACCAGCTTATAGGAGAATGAAGCAGAAAATTGAAACTGGTATAGAAAATAATATTTTAAATACTGAAATAAATAGATAAACAACCAGAATATTAATTTACTTGGGTTTGCTTGCTTGCTTGCTTTGGTTTACAGTTATTAGGATTTGCCTGTTCTTTGTATTTCAAAATGCAAGGGATCCATGAGTTCATATATTACTCATGGTGCCTTAAGCCCTTTAAAAAAAAAAAAAAGCAACCAAAACCTGGTTCTTAGGAAATATTTTTCAACTGAAGCAGTACTGATTTTTTTTTTTTTTTAAGAAAATTTATTAATGATTTTGTAAATACACCTATGTGAAGCTCCTCAGGACACTCAGGTTAGGAGACAAAGGACAAAGGAGAATGTGTAAATCCTTATGACTCAGAGAAATAAGACAGGATGGACAGACTAATCACTCTCAGCTCCCAAACGGTACAGAAAGATATGCTCAAAATCAGAACTTGGTTATCAAACTAAAGAACACAGAAGACATGAGCAGGACTTGGCTGCAGGCATCTTTTTTCCCATGGGCCAGTGCAGAAGTACCCTCCTAGGAGGTCTTGCATTGCTTCAGTACTGCAACATTACAAAATGAGTGCAAGTTCAGTATATACACTGGATATTTATGCTTTAATAACTGACAATCAAATTCAAATTGGACAGTTTGTGAACAAAAATTCTGACACCCTAAAACTCCCAGTTGTGGTGAACAGTTTATCAAAAGCTCTTCCCTTGTAACCAGAATACAGCCAGGCAAAAGTCTAGTGGTGTGTTAGCTCCAGAAAAAGCATCTGACTTCAAAGTAGGCTGGAGAAACAGAAAAAGCCTAAAGAGCCCTTCTTTGGCATCAGAAGCACATACAATATATGAGGAATTATCAAATATATTGATTTATCTGTGTATGAAAACACTTCAATTGGTACTCTGGAAGCAACACTAAGGAGAACCTGGAACAAAACAAATTACCATTCAACCTCCAGAAAAGAATATCTATTGACAAGATTAGCAGCTCTTTAGATTACCGTTAATATTGAATGTTCTCAACACGTTTCTCCTAATTCTTTGATGCAGTCAATAATTAAGCATCTTAATTTTACATGCATCAGTAAGTTAGGATTTTTTTTTCCTACGTACATCAGTAAATTAGGAAAATCCTTCTATCACTTAATGAATATTAAGAAAGTAATTGAATTGACTTTTTGTGCAAAAAAATCAGTTTTCAGTCAACGATGAATTATAACCCTGAATTAAAGCGTGGTCATCAATTAGTTTCTTCCGTTATAACTTGCCAAAGGAGGCACAAAGAAAATGAAGTCTGTTGTTCTACTTACACTATCGCCAAAAGCAGAAAGACCTTCTTACTACAGTTTGCTCTCACTGTGAACAAAGAATACTGACCTTTTGAACTGATGTCAAATATTAATTCAAAATACTCTTTACTTGGTAAGAAAAGTAACATTTTTTCTTTTTTATGAGCTGAAGATAATTACATATAAAGGGTATAATTTCAAAAGTGATATGAAAATGACACACTAAAGAAAAAGATGGTTAGTTGATTGATTTGTTATTTTGCTGTGCTTTTTGCCATATGCAAAAAAATAATTGTGAAGTGGCTGTTGCTATACACAAAAGCAAGGAAATCAGACGGTAATTCAGCTAGTCTTCATCAGACAAGCACACTCACTATCAACAGTACAAGAACTGTGCATACATGCACAGAATGTCCATCACAATTTTAAAACTGTTTACATCGTATTTCTCATATTTCCAGTCTCCAAGTCTAAATATACTTGCATTATATTATTATTATTGTATTATTATTATTATTTCATTGTTACTTCACTATCCATGCACTAATATTTATGGTCTTTATATGTTAGTTTCACCAAGGCAAAAGTATTTTGGTGAAACAATGATAAAAGTTTTTAAAAGCCTGATGACATCAGTGTCTGTCTGCCCATTGGTTTCACTTAAACCTTATCTGACAACTGACTGGTAATTCTCTTTGGAATTTATTTCTTCTCTGAAATGAAGCAGCAAAGAAGAGGATGACACTGTCTGGATGGAATCAGTTCCTCCAGAGGAGAGGGACAGAGCATGGTGTTCGTGCCTGCATATTTTAGGGTCTAAACTCTACTACTCTAGATGCTGAGAGAGACTTAGCACATGCCTAGTCCTCATCCCTCCCACTCCTCTCCCCACCTTCTTTCCCAGATCTTCAATATCCTTGGAAGGTCTTCATAGAGATCTTTTGGCTCTTCAGGACTATAAAAGTAGTGAACCATGTCTTGCCAGGTCAGTTTTAATAGTGGGAAATCCTAAGCTTCATCCTGTTCCCATTGATGTCAGCGGCAAACACCAGCCAGCTCAGATAAATCTAGTTTCCTTATTGTTCCTGTGTTCCATAGAATAAATACATATTACAGGAATTTGTGTTGTTCTGAGCCTAATCCTTCCAAAATGTCCATTTTTATTGTTGTGAATCTGACAGAAACACATTGCCTAAAGTTATTAGAGCACATAGCCAGGCTCCTATATTCATTAGTGTTCTGCCTACATTCATATACATTTCCAGTCATGTAAACTGAGCATACACAAAATATATGGACAATTTTACACAACATTTTTTGAAAATGCAAACTTCTACACAGTAATATGTATCATCAGTTATTCTGACACAAAATAATCATTTTACTTATTGTGAACAGCAGCAAAATAGCTCCCATTCTCTATTTTATGCATAAATAAATCAAACTGACAACGTTGCTCTAACCTATATAAATTAAATAATGTTACTTATCAAATATAAAAATGTTTCATTTTAGTAAATGTCATTATTTTTTTTCTTGCTACAGATTCATCTTTGATGGAATCCAGTGTTATGTAAGATATATTATCCCGTAAAAAGAATGTATGTCTTTCTCATGTATGGTTTTACCTATTATTTACACTGCTTTGCTGAATTTGAGATACATTTTCAAATTACTTCAAGGAAAGTAAAGTTAAATATTTGCCTTTGACAGTGGGAAAAAATCCTTTTAGAAAGTCATATTTTAAAGCATAATAGAAAAATAATAAATAACAATAAGGAACTCAAAAGTTGTACATGGAAAAACAACAAAACAATGCATTTTAGGATTCTTTTTTAGCAAGTACAGCTATAGGTCTTAAATTTACAAAAGTAGATGATGTCTTGAGTAAGGCTATCTTAGATCATAGAACCATAGAATCATAGAATAGTTTGTGTTGGAAGGGACTTTTAAAGGTCATCTAGTCCAACCTCCCTGCAATGAGCAGGGACATCTTCAACTAGATCTTTTTGGTATTAAAAACAGCTGTTGCATGTAGCAACTGAGAGTTAAAAATTCAAAATGAAAATAATAAAAAAATTATTACTATTTTTAATTTTTTAACAAAATTTAAAAAGGAAGAGGGCAGAGGGATTATCAACTCAATTCATATTGACTGTATTTTTAAAGCTTATTGTATACATAATACCAATTGCTTATTTAAGTGCTTTTGTTGTATCAGTGTGAATTGTGACTCAAAAACATTTCATTTTTGAAAGTGTGGAATGTGCTTATCTCATTTTGAGTCCTGCTGTTTAGTTCTCTCAATATAAATAATACAACAAAATTTATGGTTAACTAATTAATGGGATTAAGTATGTTATTCAAGTTCAGGCTCTAAAGGAGCTTATTCCACTTGTTTTCTTTAACCTTGATCTGTTTACAGTCTTGGCCATAAATAGTGCAAAGCTGGGATGCTTCACCGAACTTAGATTTTATTTCCATACTGCTTCTGTTCAATTGGTAAGTGATTTCTATTTAATAAGAAATATTGAATATAATAAATATTATGAGTTTGATTTTTTACTACACAACATTTACTTATTCCTACACTTAGAGTGGTTCCTATACAAGTAGGTCTCAATCCTACACAGTGGTCTGATAATGAGATAAAGTTATGTACAATAAACTACTTCCTCCTTCAATAGCTTATGCAAAATTTTATCTATCTCATTGAGAAAAGTGATCAAAACAAAGAAGATGAGAAACAATAGGTCATTCTTCCTCTTCATAGGTGTATGATCAATTTAATCCAACAAATCTTATTTTGGCAAAAGGCCAGGGGTTTACAAGATCATTACCTGTACAAGAGCTACAGGAATGGCCTATATTCCATAAGTTTAAGATTTATCATGATAACATGAAATTATTACTCGAATGGAGTACAGATAATAATTAAAGGTAAATCCAGCCTCCACCTTTCTTTGGCAATGAAGATGTCCACAGGTAAAGGAAATTCTCTTGCACAGCATATGTCTAAGATACAAAGATTCTGCTGATATCTTACGCACTTCAACTTGGAAACTTGAACAAGTTGGGATAAGCTAAGAAAGGAGCACAGAGAGATTCCTCATGAGGGAGATACAGTAGACATTCACAAAAAATACTACTGGGATGCTGCCAGGGTGTCTATCTGTGATTCTATGCCTCTCTGAAAGTCAGAAAAGGGTTTCTTCCTCCCAGCTGTTGTAGAATCCTGCAGTATACATATAAGCCCTTTTGAATGTTAACTGGGAACAGAAATGGGAAGACATATTAGAAAAAGAAGAGTAATTAACTCCTATCTCGCCTGTGTAAGGCATGAGCATCAATAGCTACTTTCCTGCTGTATCTGTTGTGATTGAATTCAGAATCTGTTTTTTCTTTTGAAAACCTGTCTAAGAAATGGTATGTGCAGTAATAGCAATATCCGTAAAGATGGGTGTCAAGTGGTACAAAAAGAGAAAAATTCGTAAACTCACAACATTATGAATTTAGCACTACCGTTATGTTCATCTTCTATGGATCATGCTTCCTTCCTCCATCAAAAGCTACAACAACGGTTGCATAGAAAAAGATCTTCTTCCAAATACACAAACCACAGGATCAGCACTTAAAGTGATAACACAAGCATGGAAGTTAAAAAGATAATTTTAAAAAGCATGTAGAACAAAGGCATCATGTCCAGCAATGTAAGACTCAAAAACCAGTATCTTACCTGTAATTATTGTTTTTCAAGTTTTGTGAAATATCACTGCTAAATGAACACTGACAGATTTAACAGACTACATCTGCGCAAACTAAAACTTGAATTAGGATGGCAGCTTTTAGAAGTATACAAATAACATTAGTGCCAAACAGAAAACCTAGTATATTTGTCCATTACAATTCTTGCTATTACTAACTATATTTTTGATTGAAGAAGGCTACAAGGCTAGTATAGTCCTGAATCCAATCTGCCATCCACACTTTCTCCAGTGGAAAGAACTAAGAAAAGGATGATTTTAAATGACAGAAGTTCAATGTGTGGCTGAGGAGAGGCAGAGTCCCAGACATAGAGACACATAAGTCCTGGATATCCAGACTGCCCTTAGCCATGATGAGTATCACAGGGCCAATGTGACCCCTCACAGAGTCAATGTGGCCTTATCCTGTGAATAACCTTAGGACAACAGAAGAGTTGCAATTGAAGGAAATAGAAAAGGTCTTATAAACGTATATTTTGATAGAGTTAGTACTTAAGAGGAAACTCTGAAGGAACTTCTGAGGCAAGAAATTACAGAACCTGTATATGAGGACATTGCAATTGTGAAGTACCCAAAGAGCAGGCTAGAAATAGATAGGAACTATACAAAATTTCATACATGTGAGTGTTAGTTCATGTGATAAACAGCTTCTCTGTACATCCACAAAGGAGCACAAAGAGACAATAGGTGGGAGAATCAAGTAATACCCTGGCCCAGCTACTCTCAAACTCATCACTGAAGAGCCATCAGCACATTAAAGGCCCATCTCTACAAGTCCAGTAGAGCACAGCAGCACAATGGCAGGCAGAAACCTAAATTACAGACTCAGAGAAAGGCATGGCCCTGTTGGGGCCCCTCCCAGGGCTCTTCTGTGAGAACCTCTACCCCACTGTCCAGGGGTGACATCCATCAAGATGAAGCAATGCTGCAGCACGTTTCAGACTGAGAGGGGTTACTGTCTAGGGGTATGGGAAACATGAGATTGAGCAAGACTTCCTGTGGGATGTTTATGGGAGGAAACAAAACCAGGGAAAGGGATGGATTTAGGGAGGAACAAGTCTGAGAAAACAGAGGGATAAGGGGACAAAAAAGGGCCAATCAGATGTGTATAGTTTGCTTTGCAGTACAATTGTCTGGCCATGTCCTGCATCCAATCTTATTAAATTCCATTTCTATTTCCCTGGGTGAGGAACTCTATTTTTGTGTGCATGTGTGTATATGAGGGTCCAACTGCTAGCAACTGGGTCAGACGATGGGTTAGTGAGCCCATGCGACTGTGTTGCCGGAAACTGGAGCAAATGAGGTGTTCTGGGTACCAGAAACTGGAATGGGACCGTCGGACAGAGGGCCCATGTATCCATGGAGCCCGCAACTGTAAGGAGTGTGGGTGTGCAAGACCGTGTCTGATTGCTAGTGAAGATTCTAGCCAGCAAGCAGGCGAAGTAGCCTGGGAGCCAGTTTTGTCCCTGCATGTTTCTGAGCTCACGTGAGGAGCTGGCTCTCATATCTGACCATGGTGACGGTTAAATTTTGCAGACCAAAAGATGAATAGTAGGCTTCTGCAGAAGCCACAAAAAGTATCTTGTTTTTTTTAGCCAACTTTGAACATCTATATTAAAAATACTAGAGAAATAAGTGGTCTTGTATGGCAGACTTGGGCCATTGGGAGGTGTGTTCTAGGAGTCTGCGGATTATACAGCCTGTGCATGTCTAAGTACATGCAAATTTAGATACGTTCAGTTTGGAAAAAAATCTACCTAGAAAAATATGTTGAGGAGCACTCAGTCTCTCCAGTTAAGTGCTTTGTATAGTAAAAACTAAATAAACTTCTGACAGAGTTAATAGTTACATCAGTTTAAGTGTTATAAAGAACAGGTAATATGCAAAAACATTAAGGAGAAACACTTTGACCTCTTGATGATATCATGCAAAGGAATAGGCAATAAATTAGTCATGCTTTATTAAAAGAATCTGTCAAATATAAGGTCACTTTCCATTTGACCTTTATCTAACCAGCTTGGCTTCATCATTCTTTACAGATTACTCATCTAGAAGTACACTGGCTGGGTATATGGCATAATACTGTGGCTATATTCAGAGCACAACATGTTCCTGACTAATACTGGTTAGTTTTGCCTTATCCTTACAGTCAAGACCAATTTGCCTGGAGTGGCAAAAAGAAAGCAAGCTTTCATCAGATATGACAGCACG